TGCGAGCCTTCTCTCGTTCATCTTTGATGATGGCGAGTCTCCTTTGCTTTGTTGACATAGTTTTCCAAAGAAAAGGTGGAATACTGTCGGGTTTGCTCGATCCTGAATACCTTCGGGCTTTCACACCCCCCGCATCGTAATGAGCACCTCCATCTTTGGGAACAAAGGTGTCCTTGCTGGTCTTCAAATCGATGACTTTGACCATCTCCTCCGATGCGGGTCCCTTTTCGGGGGAATCTTTGATCAGCTTTCCGAGGTTTTCAGCGAGTTCCTGATCATCGATGTCATCCTGGCCTGGCATCTCTGCCGGCAAATCCTCCTCCAAGAGCGGCGCATCCAATGCCGCTGGATCGGGCGTTTCAGGAGCATATTCAAGCCCCGGCATTACGCCATTCATGTGCAATAAGTGCCGTTCGACCATTGGAAAAGAGAATTCGCCATCCGGACATTTGATCTGATTAACCCTGAAAGGAGCAATAGGTTGATCATAGTCCTTCTCCATCAAATCTCGCAAAGGAATAACGAGAAATTCGTGACGCCAAAGAAAGTCAGGATGGATGGGATACCCCAGAAATATACCAGCCCTGGAAGTAGGTTCAAACTTCAAAGGCTTGTTGGGTCGATTCCTCGGGCCGGTCCAAAAGTTGACTTGACAACCAAAGGGCAAATATGGTCCGGGAAAATCTTCTCCAAAACGTACCTTCCATGGTGAATGATAATCTGGGTGGTCCGTGATGTTATGCGCCATGCAATAGTGTTTGGCCGCATGTGGCCAATACGAATGATGCAAACCAGCTTGTTCCAGGTTGGTCCTCGTGCCCTCGATAATCGCCCTGACGTTCCTCTCAGCAATAGCATTAGTTTTGGAAATGTAGTTTGTACTTTGAACATGCTTCCATTCCAATTGATCCGCCGCTTTCACAAGTTCAGGAGCCCGATCACTGTAAAACACGTTCACGGTTTCCCCGGTGCGGACAAAGTGCTTGAATGCCATCACACACTGATGAGAGGTTTTCCGTGCTGCTGGGTAAACATAACGGAAATCAGTGGCAACATCCGAACCACAAGTGCAACTCTAGATTGATCAATGCCGATTTCACGATCATCTGATGTGATAAGATGGTCCGCCGTAAGGTGATCACCAAACTTCTTGGCCTCGACTTGAGTGGAACCTCCCTTCTGCTTTGATGGGTATTTGTACATCTTCGCCCTGTTACAAGTCTCGCAAAAGGGGTTCTTGGGAGTGTGACACATCAAGTGCTGGGGTGAGGTCGCCTCATCACGCAAAGCTGTTTCACCGCGTTCGCGAGGGGCGTCCTTCAAAATAGGCTTTGACACAAAATCGGAAGCGATGACCTTAGGCGCATCTTCGGAGGGAATGTCATGGCACTCTTCAATGACCTCACCTTCCGGTTGGCTAATAGTGTCCTCAAGCAAGAAATCATCGTTCCCCAATTCATCCCCATCATCCTCATTGGTCACAAGCACCTCTTCAACAGCTTCTGGTTCTTCGTCAATGACTAGAACTTCATCCTCAATTTCAATGGGAGCTGATGGTAATGATGTAACCTTTGGAATGCTCTGTGACAAAGCTGGAACAACATTTTGAGTTGCTGGGGGAATGAATGGAACATTGTCTTTGACCTCGAGCTTGATGCGTGAACCATCCGGAAGTCGGAAATAAGGTCTGCTGTGGGCTCTCCAAACGAAATCATATCCGTCCCTGAGGCATCTCATACCCACGGATAACACGGATGGAGCCTTGTCAAGAACATATGGCCGAACAACACTATCGGTCTGTTGGATCTTGACCCTGGCCTGCTTGGTACCGATAATATTCCCATTGGCTGTGGAAAATTTCAGAGGTTGAGACGATTCGTAAATACACCCCATCTCCGCATCGGTTCCCGATAGCAAATCCTGAGAAGCTCCTGTATCTGCGATCCACGGAATGTGAGAAGAATCCATTGTCATACGAGCAACAGCAGCTTTCCCCTTTTTGGGGGAGGTCACGGGCTTCTCTGGCTCGGCCGTTAGGCCTGCGGGGATGCAGGAATCACAGCCGAAATCAGAGTCGCATTGAAATTTGCAAGGAGTCTTCGTGCCTTTGAGCAAATCCTTCATCATAGCTTCATGCATGGTGCCGATAAGAGTTGCGTCAGAGACAGCTCTCTCATCGAACTTCGGAACATAATCAACAGGAAACTCGTGCGCAAACCTTCTCGACGAGGCAGTGTAGGGCCAAAGCTCGCCGTCAGTCTCATAGTTCGAAATGGATGGGTAATCAGAAAATTGCACGCACTTCTTGATACATGGCATACTCTGGAAAACATCGTGAGTCACACTAGGCAAGCAAGGATGCGAGGCGACCGAGTCGAGGGTCGCGGCGCACACCATCGCCTGGAGGAGGCACACCGCAGCATTGCTGCCTTTTGACGATCGCGGAGACTTGAGGGACTGAGAACCCTTCGAGTCTTTCGAATCTTGAGAAGAAGGCCTGCTTCCCTTCTTCTTCTTCTTTTTCTCTCTCGGCGATGTCTTGGGGGTGTCTCCACTAGCGGTCTTCTCGGCCTTTGGGGCTGGAGCTGCCTTGGAAGTTGCGGGGTGCTGCCATGGGCAATCTTTCCCTCTCTCACATCTGTTCGCTTTGAAGAACTTGCACACCTGGGGCTTCGAACCAGGGGGACTCTGCGAACGATACTTCCTTGGCGTCTGGGGTCTGGACCCGCCCTTCTTGCCTTTCCCCTTACCTTTCGGTGCCTTCACATGTTCGAATCGGCAGTCTGAACCATAGGTGCACTGGCCAGTTTGAAATTTCACACATACACCCTTGGGGATTCCAGGAACTGCAGGGTTGTTCGATGGAGTCCTGCCACGTCCCGTTGTGTTGCTTGACATAGCATCCCGCATGTGAACAAGCCTCTTGCGCTCCAAATAATTCCTCGATGCATCAATCAAGGAGTGCTTTTCCGTCCCTTCCTCAGCCCGCTCATACTCATTGAGATCATGACTGAGAGGCCGAAACTTTCGAATCTGGCGGTGGAACAGCGCTTCAAGGGTCTTCTCATTTTGCTCATTGCCCATTCCAGCGATGACCGTGTCCCATCTCGTCATGAAGTTCTTGAGGTCCTCGTTGATGAGCTGGACAGAGAGCAAGTCCTCAAAGTCGTAAATTGCACCATGTTTGATGTTCGTGCTGAAGTGCTTGTGAACCATCAAAAGAATTTGGCGCCCCCTCGCGTAGCGTTTCTCCTTTGCTTCTTGTTCTTTGAAAATGTCGACTTGCCGCGCGAGGTCGCCCTCCAAGATATTCGTCAACGCCGATGCCAGCTTTGCATCAAGATGGACAAACATTCCTGAATCACGAAGGACTTCAACAGTTTGACCTGGGATCCAAGTTGCCTCAATCCACTCAAATGCCTTTTCGGGTTGGTCGGAAGTAGCAACAACAGCATCCCTAACTTTGATCCTCCAATTACGGTACTGTTCGGGCTTCGGGAATCGGGGAATCTGAATTCTATCACCCTCCTTTACACGAACGCGTTCCGCTGTCGGATCGCTCGAATTACCTAAGTGCTTCAGTAGCTTTCGTCGAAAGGATTCATCCGATGCAGTCGAAGTTGATGACGAAGATGACGAGGGAGAGGATGACGGATCTCGTCGCCGGCGTCGGCTACGGTCCTTCTTCTTTTTCTTCTTCTTCTTATTTTTCTTGTCCTTGTCATTTCCACCATCACCATCATCGCAAGGCCAACCGTCTCCGGTAGCAGCATCGTCCACGGCCCCGGCGGGAACGGATCCGTCTTTGCCGTAGGGGTCGCTCCCGACCTTCGTCCAACTGTGCGAGGAAGCATTCGAAAGTCCGGGTGGAGACAGCCAAAGGAACTGTCGGGATAGCCAAGGGGGTAGCTGGTGCCTGCTGAACAGGAGGCGCAGGGGCAGGAGTAGGTTGAGCAGGCGGTTGCTGTTGATTCTGCATCATCTGCTCGACCATAGCCCTTAGCTCTCTGATCTGTCTCTCCTGCTCGCTGATCGTATTGATGGCGTTTTGGTACTTCATCTCGGCTTCTCGCTGCTCAGCATTCATCTGAATCTCGCGTCTCATGGCCTCCGATTGGCTTTGGAGACCGGCAATGATCTCACCATGCCTTGCCTCCGCCATCTGGGCGACCATGGGACCGGTGTCCTGATTCACGAACTGGTTGAATTGGGCATTGTTCTGGGTAGCGTTGACCTGCTGATAGTTCGTCACGTCCTGGTTGATCGTCATTGAAGGATCGAGGTGGACGTTTGCAACATGTTGGTTGAACTGATTCATGGACTGTGGCATAGGGTTTCCCCTTGCGAGATCGGCCTGGGGGTCGTACATGACGATGTCACCATGCCGATGCCGATCTGATCCAACAGGTGAAGGAGATCGAGCACCAGACCGCCCAGTCCTCCCACGGTCACTCCGGGATCGAAGTGATTCGGGGCCCTGACTGCTCAGCGCTTGTCCCTTCCTGATGAGCTCCCTGGCCACTTGGGAGTTTGCTCGACTAGTCGGTTCATATTGCGAGGCGTCTTCATCGCCTGCGGGCTCATCAGGTGTGGGACGCACCTCGGTATGGGGAGTCCAGGGTCGCCATCCATGGCGTACAACTCTGTACAAAGAGCCGCTTACGGCTGATAACCTATAGAACAGGTTAAACAACCGGGAAGGGTCACAAATGAACCCTGTACACAGCGCGCTTTTTCTTGAGCCATATGCAGTCGTAATGATGAGACTGCACAAGTGAGACATTCATGCATTGGGGTTTTACATGGTTGATAAATACATCACGTTGCAAACTACAATTCGGAACCCCATCAAAAGTATGAGTTGCAAGATGTATAAACATCACCCCACCAAAAAGGAAACTCACTTTAATTTGGCAACCAAAAGGTGGCGCCTTAGAATCCCCAGAAAAAATGCAGGGGGGTCTGTTGGAGCGCATGTTTGCCGCTTGCTGGCCAGCGGCTCTTCGGTTTTGCGGCTGAGCCGGCTGGGCCGATCTCCGCCGCCCCTCCGGGGCTCGAAGAGGGGCGCGGGACCGAACCACTCCATGGCTCCAAGCCATGCCGCGGAATGCGTTCCGCTGTTTGGGTGAGGCTTGGTGATGCTTCCACAGGTGTGGTGGTGTTTGCTTTGTGGGAAGGACTCCTAGGCTTTGGCAGTCGCAGTATTGCTGACGGAAGCGGTTCCTAACGGCCCACTTTCCGAGATTTGGTCGACGAAACCCTCAAAGTACTTCAGTTTGTTCATTGGCCACGCGAAGCCACTGTCTGTTGTCAGGGACGTTTGTGTCGCCCCCTTTCTGGGCATGTAGAAGTTCCCTAGCTTCAACACTTGATGCGATCCCGGCATCTTCTCGGCCGAAACCTCGGGCATCGAGGTCAGCGTGTTGGCGACTTTCTGTGCTGCCAATCACTCAAGCCAATAGCACCATTGGGCAAATCTCTAGATGGTACTGCGCTTGCTCGCGCGCTTTGTTTTTTCGGCTGCAAGCCAAAAGCTGTGGCTGCGGACAATCGGCCCGGGGTGTGGGCAAATGGAAGTCCTTGCGAGTCATGTGAGGTCGTGAAAGACATGCTACTAAACTCGATACAAATCTGATTCTGTCGTTGCTACTCTATGGTTTTGCAGACCACGCTGCTCATCAACGTTTCGAGTTTTTCCCCTGGCCGAAGAATCTTTCGCAGAACAAGACCAGCCAGTGTGGGACTTGTGAGGAGCATGCATCAGTCAAATGCTTCCTTCTGTAGAGCTTCTAGGTCTTTCCGGGTTTGCTTCTTGACTTGTTTGACTCACCCTTGATCCTTGGGTCCCTGCATGATGATGTTTGACAAAACGACATGCACAACCAGCACGCAGTTTGCTGAACCACAATGACGTGAACAGCAAATAGGGCAGCAAGCAAACAACTCCGCAACGAAGCAAGCAACTCCGCAACGAAGCAAGCAAGCAGGCAAGCAAGCAAGCAACTACGACAATAACTGCTGCAACCCCTGTCTATGTCACCATTGACATTCTAAAAGCAAGCTTTGGAACGAAGGGCTACTAAACTGCTGGCCAGAATGCGCCGGCGTCCACGGCGACACCACCCGATGGCAGAAATGCCTGGGACTGCGGGACCGCCCATCTGAGCGGTCTGTGTGGCTCTTTGAGAAAAGGCGGGCGTTGTGGCTGGTTTTGCGTGTGTGCCCGAAGGAGTAGCCAGCTAATAGGTCCCCACAAGGATTGCTGAAGACCAGTCTAAATTGTGCAAGATAACGTGAAGACAGCAAGGATGCTAAGTGTCTTTGGCAGAAACTGAACGTTTCGCAAAACAAGGCTTGCGGTTGCAGCCATTCCCGTTCATTTGTAGTCTTGCATATGTGCATACATATAAAAAAGAAATGCATGATGTGTCCAAAACGATAGCTGGGCAAGAAGAGAAAAGAATGCTCGGCGCTGGCGTTGAAAAATCCACAGGAGCTTGCCCTGCCTGTCCCAAGTCCACTCCCCAGCTTCTATACGACAGCAAACCGTAGCCCATTCCACAGCCATGTTCGCTTACACACTCAAACCTAAGCATGTTCGACCTTAGGTTTGCCACCTTATTCGGAGGCGTACCGAGCCTTTCAGATTCATCTGGGAAGTGCTTTGATTCGGGAGCAAGCGATGCTCCGCCCAAACCCCCGGCCTTCAGCAAGTCGACCTCTGGTTGCATCCAGCGGCCTTCGCTGATCAGCTGATGGCCAACGGTCATGTCCTCGGATACCCCGAAGTTCGCCTTCCCCCTTCCTTCCAGCCAAAGATAGCCCAAGAAGTTCTTGAGGCTTACCGGGCGCGTGTCAGACCGGGCAACAAGAAGGTATGTGTAGCAGCCTCGGAATAGTTGTGCAATATGACCTACACATCTTCAAAGCTGCTGAGACGCCACAATCGGAATATTTCCCTTTTTGTGCCTCCCTCGTGCTTGCCATTCCCTGTTGTCGCGCTGGTTGGGATGCAAACCTGCAGACCTGCCAACATGCTTGGCCAAACCTCGGCCTCAAAAAGGCTGAGCAAACAATTTAGTATTCATTCTTGCTGGCCGCCAGCCTTGTCACCAGCGTGGCCGCCCCCTTCGTCGACCT